ACTTTTAAATGAAATGTGTAATTGTATGTTTCTAATAATTTAGTATTGCAGACAAATTTGGTTGGGGTTGTATGATGCCAATGATGCACATGACACTAAAGATGAGCAACAGATAAAAGACTTCATGATAGCAAAGTATGAAAAGAAGAGGTAAGTATGTTTTGATAGATTCTTGGATTATATATTTACATTTTTTCAGTTGCATAAGTTATGTGGCACTGAATAGTAGTATGACTGCAAAAGATGGATTGAAAAAGTTTTGTCCTATCACTTGTCTTGGAAGGACTGAAAGAAAGACAAATTAACTGTCAGGATAGTTGTTCTTGTGGCCAAGATTTAAACCTGGCAGCTCTTAGATATGAAGTACAAATATTAAACCTCAGTTATATTTTTCTCTGAAAATTTATGCATAGAAATGTATTCAAGAAATGTAATATTTAAAGAGCATCTGGCATCAAATTGGGCCAGTTGTTTTGTTGAATGGATCGCTTGTCAACATGTCATTGTATATCCTTTGGTTTAAGGTGGAGGAGGTGCTTTTGGTATAAAAGTTAATGCAGTATATTAAATAAATGAACAAATATTTTTGAACAATCAAAGAGAGGATATCTGGCTTGGGGGTTGGACATGGGCTATCAGTCATTAACTGTAAAAAACTTGTGTGGTATGAAATTTATGACAGTGCCTCAAAACTAGACAGGTTTCTTGGAGCAATGGAATTTAAGAAAACGTAAATTTGAAGTTGAACCCCTATATGCCTGATTGGAAAATTAATTTGTTTGGTTTAGTGTCTGTTGTCTCAGTGTGGATGATTTTCAGGTTGAATGTTGTAGAATAAACTGCAATGATGGCAAGAAAAGATTGTAGTAGTTATGATTAATTGTAGAGATATGCAAGAAGTGCATTGTGATTGTATTGTGTGAAAACAGTAATTACAACTTTTCTTTAATGTTTTTCTCTCCGCATTGAAGCATAATTTAAGTGTATTGATTTTTTTAAGTTTCTCCTATTGTTTTATCATGTACTTAATGTGCTGTGCCAAATTACTTCACTGTTTGAACACTTGAACCATTTGTGGGAATCTTTACATGTGGTGTATATAATTGCCTAAGGTCACAGCAGAAGTTTTTGGTTAGGTATATAGTTGCCTTTCCCAAATTGCAATTGAACGCTTGAACATTCGCACAAAATACTGCCATTATGTATTTAATTACATTGCTATCATTAGTATTACCTATTGCTGTGATTTATTGCAGGTACTATATGGAGCCATCAGTCGTTAAGAACGATGGTTCTGCTGGGTTTTCACCATCAGGAACTCAAACCAACTCCCATACTGGCACACCTACACATGTTGCTTCTGTTACTACTAGTACTGCTGTTACTACTCCAACTTCAGATATTAAGCCCTTGTCCAGTCTGCTTGGCTCACAAGTAAAGCCTCTCAACCTGAATGTGCAGGTAAGTTCTTGTCAAGATCAGCTGCTTCTTTGACTGAATTTAGTATGTTTGTTATATTACCTTTAAATGTATTACCACATGGATCTTGGTTTTTGTTTTAACACCGTATAGTCTTATAGATATTCATTGACATTTCAGAGGAACCTTCAACTGTAGGGTAGAAGATGGAAGTAAGTATGTTCTTCCAAAATGTTGGTTACCTCCTACAAGACTACATAGCAGCACAATACAGCAGACCATGATCCACACTTTCACCATCCTGAAAACCTCATATCTCACCACACACATGAGCTTGTTGTCATGGAATTTATACCTTTTAACTTCATGCTTACATAAATTTGTTTTGACATATAAAATACATTTCAATAAATTGTGGGTTTTGTATGTGATTCAAACTTGTGGCATGACTAAGCTATGGGCAATAATTAATATAGTGTCTTGACTATGGACTGGGTGACTGGGGTTTAATCTCTGGCAGGGACAAAGTATTTTTCTTCTAGCCTTTGTGTCCAAACCTGTTCTGGGCCCACCCAGCCTCCTATCCAGTAAATACTGTAGATTCCTTTCCTGGGGATAAAGCACAGCCAGAGCATGATGCTGATTACTCACCTCCCCCCACCCCATTGCCTACATGGCATGTAGCAGGACAGCTTTACATTTTGCTGCTGTATTTTCGTGACTTTTATATTACTCTGTGAAAGCTAAGAATGTCTGCCACTATTTTTAATGTAATAAATGTATTGGCCCTTTCCATTTCTATCTTTCAGCTAATTTAAAATGATCTACCTTTTATGTAAAATATGTAAGTAATTCTGTTAGGAACTGACTTTCAAATGGTAACATACACATTTTTTTTGCCGTACAAAAATGTATTCTAGGTGACAAATGAATAGTCTTGTTTTTATTTATTGTTTTCTGTTTTTGAGTGTTTTAGCCATGTGAAGTGTAGTTGGTATCTTGTATGGAATTCTAAAAGTATATAGTAAGCTGTGAGTGAATTAACCATCTTTTGCTTCATGAGCCTGTTTAGTATAGGCTTCCAATACCATATTTCATTAAAAACCATTGACTAGTTTTGAAGATGAAACGTGTAGATGAATGAATGTACAGATACATACTTCTTGCATAAATGCATTCATTTTATATATAAAAGTTCATGAAGGTCATTACATGTGTGCTCGTTTCATTTGGGAGAATTACCCTACCTGTATCATGAATGTGTTAATTGTTTTACCATGTTTACTCAAATGGAAGATTGCTTAAGTCAGAAACTTGAAGATAAAAAATAAAATAGTGACTTAATTAAAAAGGAATAATAATCTTGTACATTTGCTACAATTATAATTGGGTTCAGTTCATCCTATGCTAAACCAGTTCTTTGAGTGTGCTGATCTTTTCAGTGGATTATGTTTTTTTTTCTTATTGAAAACTTTCGATTTATTTATTTGTTTGTTTTAAAGTGACCTATCAGGAAAGACCCTGATACATCACAGCAGCCACAACAATTTTACATTTATTGTTTTATTGGTTTACTGCTATTAGCATGTTTATACTGATTTCTTATGAAAGCTGTATGCAGACTTATTACCATGTCTTACCCCTGAAATGTTTGTATAACTTTTAAGGTCTGTAATTTTTAAATAAGCCTGTAATTCAGTTAGAGATCATGTTTCTTGTTATTGAAGATGAAGACATTAAGTGCTCAGTGTTTCTTGGAATTGTGTGATTTCATATCAGTGTCATACAGTGCACCTCTAGAACAGTTCAGAAGAATTGTTTATTTATTATCATTTAGTGAATCAGGAAATATGGCCTTTGTATTCATGAAATCTGCCATGTTCAATAATTTTTGTGGTCATGTAAGTATATTTTTTTCTTCTTTTGCAGACTTCAGTCACAAATTCAAGTGAAAACATGTTTACACCTGACCGGCTCTCAAATGAATTCCTGGCAGATTTTGGATCACCAGATCCTTTTAATTCTTCTACTCAATCAACATCTCTAGCCTCACAACCTTCATTTGCCAACTTTGAAAACAACCCCATCTTTAATTCATCTAGTAAGTATTATTCATCGTGCATACAGTTTTAGTAGGATTTGAGATTTTCATGGCAGTGAGTATGAAAATGGATGTCTTCTGGTTGTCACTCCATGTAGTCTGGTAAACTTCTGCCAGACTAAACAGCACAACAACGTAGAAGACAGCGATCTGCATATAATTTTGTTGACACAGTGTCCTGCATTTGCAAATTTTATGAAAGACAGGACAGATAGTATCTTTTTGTTAGTGCTTATGTATGTAGTGATGTTACTTTGTAATGCGTTGGCAGACTATTCGACAAATAATTTCCACAGTACATAGCATAGTTACGAGGTGCGATCGGAAAGTTTCCAGACTGTGTCAATAGAGGGCGAACCGGATGTAGTACAAGCTTCTGCCGCTAGGGGGTGCGGCCTACATTCATAGTGAATTAGTGTGCCAGCCTGCATCATCGAATTAGCATTTGTTTCTTAGTTACGGGTGTTTTGGTAGTGCATTACACTGACCCTCCTGCGATTTCGGAATGGCGGATTTTCATGAACAAAGAGTGTGCATCAAATTTTGCCAAAGACTCGCCAAAACGGCTACGGAAACCTATGAAATGCTAAAGCAAGCATTTGGGGAGTCCGCAATGGGTCGTGCACAAACTTTTGTGTGGCATTCACGTTTTAAAAATGGCCGAACCCCTGTCGATGATGACGAGCGTTCTGGACGACCATCTTCGAGCACAACGCCCGAAAATGTTACGAAGAGTCGGCAGGCCATTCACGAAGATCGACGTCGTACCATAACGACTTGTGCGACATTGTTGGGACCTGTCAGCTGATTCTAAAGGAAGAACTCCACATGCGAAACCAAGGCTCCTGTCTGAGGACCAGAAGCAGAATCGACTTCTCGTTTATCAGGAGCTCAAAGATCTTGCAAGAACCGACCCAAACTTCCTTTCTAAGC